CGCCCCATTCCCCTCTTGTCTAGGTGACTGGGATCAAGGACGCAGCTTCTGATGCCACAGAGCCTCCCACAAGCGCTTGGGAAGTGAACATCGTTCATTCGCTCAACAAATGGCTGCAGATACTGGTGCTGGGCATAGCAGAGAACAAGAGCAGCAGAGCCCAGCTCCTCCCCAGTCCCTGCATCAGCTCCACGACTCATGTGCCACCGTCAGCCGCAGGGGACACATCCTCGTGTCCACCCAGGCACCCGGCTCCTGTGCCCGGGGGTGGGGGGTCCTGGGCAGCAGAGCAGCCCATGGGTGTGCAGGGGCCCGGCCCGGGAAGCACCCAAGGGCTCCTGGCTCCCGGCTGGCACGGCACGTGCAGGACTCGCCCCAGTGGAGCTCTGCCTTTGTCCTTGGGTTGACACGAATGATCTTCACATCGCTACAAGTCTGTGCTGCGAGAGGAGACAGTCTCAGGGACCACTGCCCGGGTCACGGTCCCCCAAGGCAGGCTCTTGTTTGCATTTCTTATGCTCTGTGAGACACGCAGAGGGCCACGTCCCGGACACAGGACACGGTCAGCGCGGACCCCAGGGTCCAGTGGGTCCTGGCTGCCCCACAGCCTGAGTGAACTGCATCCCTTCCACGCATCTCGGGTGCTTCACTGAAACTCGGCGCTGTGAAAGAGAAGCGCTCACTCACGGCTGTCAGGAAGGCTCTACGATGGGCATCGCCTGTCACCCACACTATTTCTGCCCAACCCTGGACCCCCTGCCCCATGGGCCCTTGGGAGCCTCACCTGGCTCTGAATTCAAGACTATGGGGTGCTCACCCTGGTCTCTGCACCCACAGAGTGTGCCAGGGAAGGGAGGGAAGGAGGGAGGAAGAAGTTCATGGCTGGGGCTGGCAGGTGCTGGGGACACGGCTGGCCCATGAAGAGCCCTCTCTGTTGACCACTCCAAGCTCTGTCCTCTGCCTCTGTCCCCTCCTCCTGCCGGGACGGCCTATCTCTTGTGGTGATCCATGGCTGGCACCCCACCCGCACGTCTCCTCCTGATCCATCAGTGGTGATTCCTGAAGAATGCACGGATTAAGCTTGCTGTCACAATGCCATTAAACACTGCCAGCGAGTGCCTCCTGACAGGCAGCAGCTGTGAGCCAGGGCGAGGTGCAGCCCACAGCCGGGGCCACTACAGGCACAGGTCCTGGTCAGCACCGGCCCCGACGCACACCCCTTTCCTGCACACTGGGTGTCTGACCTTCTCACCTGCTCTAGCACCCTTGGACACATTTTTCCAGTCAGGCCTGCAGACACCACACTGAAGCCCACACTCTGGATGCGCAGGCCCCTGCCTGCCCAGCATCACCCTGCCTGCTGCTCAGTGCACTGTTTTCCGTTCACATGGGTGTGGCCTGGAGCGATGGCGTGGGGGTTGGGGGCACAGGCTCAGAGCATCAGTGGACCTGTCACTGGGCCAGTGGTCACAGGCAGAACCAGGAGAAGAAAACAAGTCCCTGATCAGCAGGGCCAAGTGATGGTGGCCTGAGATGTGGCACCTTGTAAGGGCTAACATGCTTTGACCTGGTGGCAGCAGGGGAAGACCGTGGCCACCCAGCATGGAGTCCCTGCAGGGCAGAGTTTCCAAGCCACACTGAGGCAGGGAGAGGGCCCTGCTGGCCACCGAGTCCACTGCCTGACATCTCAACTGTAGCCAGCCCTGGCACCAGGCCTGCTCTGCCTACACATGCTGTGGATGGCGAACTCATCCCAACAAGCATTGCTCCCCTGCCTGGTGGGGTCACTCCTCAGCACACTGTCCCTCTGTCTCTGCAGACAGGCACGGGGCAGCAGTGACCCCTGGCACTGCGCTTCCCTGGGAGCTTGCCATCTTCCAGCCCTGAGGCCACCACCCTTGCTGCTGCCACCAACGGGCTGGCATGAAGGTCCTCTCCACAGCCTCAGCTCATCTTGCAAAAGCCTGTGCCTGGAGTGGGAAACAAGCCGCTGTGAGTGCCGCCCATGTTCCAATATGTTGGGGAGTTTGCAACCAATGTAGCCATCTGTCAGCTGAGCTGTGGGCAAGTGCTCAGTATACAGAAAGATGAGGGTGACCCGGTGGAGTAGCTGCCGCCAACTGGAGTTGCCACGCAACTGAAGAGCATGTGTCACGTACGGAGCCCAGGGCCCACGCTGACCAGCCTGGAAGAGGTGCAGGAGCCGGCTCCTTCTCCATGGCATGAGGGGCACTTGCTGTTTGGGGCAGCCCAATGGGGTGCTGCTTATGTGAAGTCAGACCGACAACCCTTCTCACAACCCCCTTTATTTGTAGAAACGGGTTTCTGCTTAAAATCAGGGCCTGCTGGGCCAGGGATTTAGTTCAGTGGTTCCACCACCTGCCTTGAAAGCCGAAGGACCTGTGTTCAATCCCCGGTACCAAAACAAAACAAAACAAAATCAGGGCATGCCTTTGTACCCAAAGAATGAGTCTGATGGTGACCACCCAGCACCCTTGCCCTAGTGGCATCTGTTCCACACAGCCACCCTTTGCTGCCGTGTGACGTTGGGTAAGTCACTGTACCTCTCTGTTGCCATCTCTGGATGAGGCGCGTCTGCTGAGGATGGCGTGGATCACTTACACTAGTCCTGGCCTAAAGAAAATGAGCTCCATAAACAGCCATAAAGCATAAAACAACAGCCATAAAATCAAGAAATTAGAGACATTTATAGCTAAATGGATGCACATTGAGGCCATACTCTTAAGTGAAATAAATAGGACACACATGTAAATACCGAATAGTTTCTCTAGTGTGAGAAACTGAAAGTGTCAATAAGGACTAAATGTATAATAGGAAATAGGAAGAAAAGGGGCAAAGGGGAAGGGGCAGTGGGGGGGTAGGGGGAAGGAAAGAAGGGAATGGAATTAATGTGAGAAAATAAAAACATGGAAACAAAGTCTTTGTAGATAGGGAGGGATGGAGGGGTTGCAGGGAGGGCAGTGGAAGGGGGAAAAGTAAGAACCAGGAGAGATTATGTAAAGGTGCAAATCTCCAATGATGAGTGTCATCATATTGTATACCTAAAACGAACCCCAAAATTAATTGAAAAATAAAAAAACAAAGAAATGAAACCATTAAATTAATGTAAAAAAGAAAGCGGGCTCTGTTGTAAGATGCCCCCCCCCCCGCCCGGCATGGGAGCGGACGTCCACGCTCCAGGAGAAGGAAGCTGTGGTGTGAGAGGCCGGAGCTGCTGCCAGCACTTCCGGTCCGGAGGGGGTTCTGATCCAAGGCTGCGAAGTTCTGCAGAGCACAGGGAAAGAAGAGGCGGGCAAGCAACCTGGTGGTCGAGACAGGTTTGGTCCTGAGGCCGCTTTTGACATTCTTGGCCCACATTTGCCGGATCTACGAAACCTTGGGACAAAAACCCCTGGATTGAGACAGAAGAGGTTGGCTTAAAGGATTTCTGTGCCGACTCCTCCGGCATGGATTGATGGGCTGACTCTCTCCTGCGCCTTCTCTCCTGCTATGGAATGTCCATCAGTGTTCCCATCCCTTATTCTAGATGGGACCCGTGGAGGGAATGTGGAAGGCCTGGCAGGAAGAGGCTTTGTAGGTGTTTCTGCCCAGCTCTGCTTGGAGGACCCTGATGCTGTCCCCTGCTACGTCAGGGGAGCAGCCCATGGGCCGCAGCAGATTGGGACCGGAACCGCAGAGCGGTGCGGGCCGTGTTTAGCCTCGTGTCTGCAGGGCGTCAAGCACAGAATGAGTGATGTGTACCGTGAGATAAGGGACCTGCGGAGGCAGGCACTTCACACGGTTAATTAATGAATCAAGCCCAGGCCCTGGCCCCTTTGGGAAATGAAGCAGGTGACATTCACTTACCCTGCCTGGAAGGGACAGTCATGCTGCGGGGGAGGGCTCGGCTCTTCTCATGAGTTAAGAGCAACGTGGGGCTTTCCTGGTTTGTCACAGACAGCTCTCCGGGCGAGTGACCCGGCCGGCTCTGGAACATTCACCAGGGACCCTCACTTGGGGACCCCACAGGGATGCCGCCGGCCAGACACCTGCAGCTGTGTGTGTGTCTGGCTGCAGGGTGTGGGTCCCCACCCGCTGCCGTGCTGGGACTCGGCCAAGTAGCCTGTCCTGCACTGCCAGCCCGTGCAGGGGAGCGGCCCCAGGGCTGGAAGAGCCCTCCGTCTGTTCCCAGTGTCCTCATCTGCAGAGCAGGGTGAAGCCAGCCTCTTTCCACCAGGATGCAGCTTCTGCTAGAGAGCCCAGCGTGGAAGACAGTAGACACAGACTTGCCCATAGTGCTTCCCACACACTGGGCCCAGTTCCGGGCTCGGGACCCCTCCCGTTGCCACGCACAACCTTCCTCCCAGCCTCTCCAGCTCAGGGCCTCCGGAGCGTCTGCAGGACTGGCCTGCCTCGGCACCCTTCGGGTGGAAGGGCCAGGAAGTCCTGCACACCCAGCCCAGGTCTGCCTCACTTCCAGTGCACTTTGGGGTCAGAGGAACGAGGCGTCCTGCTGATGGCTCTGGGACCCCAGGGAAGCCTGTGCCACCAGCGGGCGGAGCCAGCCCTGCCCTCCTGTCCATGTCGGTGTGGCTGCCCAGGCCAGGGAAATGAACAACAGAAGGGGAGCGTGTATGGAGCATGCGGGGTGTGCGGCCTCTGGACCCTGCCTTTTATCCTCAGTGCTCTCGGCCCAGGAGCAGCCTGGCCAGGGCTTGCCCGGCGGCACTGCCCACGCGCAGCAAGTCCTAGCACGGTGGAAACCGATGGCCGGGGACGCCGGCAGGGGGAGGGCTGAGGAGACCTCCCTGCAGGGTCGCTCGCCCGGAGACCGCCCGGGAGCCCTCAGCACCGGGGACAGCGCCCGGGTCCCCCGCGGCAGCCCCGCCCGCGCGCGCCTCCCCGCCTGCGCGCACCCCGCGCCGGGACCGGGCAGGAGCGCGCGCTCAGAGCCAGCGGGTCGGGGCCGCCGCACGGCACACGCAGGGCTCCCGCCTGGCCACGCAGTCGCCTCCCCGGGGGCTCCGGGGCCCCTCGCGCCCGCCTCGCCCGCCCGGCCCGCAGGCCCGGCTGCCCGTCACGTGCGCCCAAGTCCTCGCGGCCGGCGGCGCTATTCCCGCGGTCAAGGTAAGGGCCCCGCGAGCCCCCGCCTCCTGGGCGCTCTCTGCGGCCGTCCCCGCAGGTCCCTGCCTGCCTCACCAGATGCGCGGCCCCATCACCCACCCGGTGGTGGTCACCCTCAAAGTGGCCGACATGAGTACTGGGGGCCAAAGGGAGAGGCCAGGACCTTCCCAGTGGGAAGGGAGGCTCCTGTCCCTCCACCGCGGCCTGGGGTGGAGGTGGCACTGGGGGGCCCCTAGGGAAAGTTTGTCCCAAGAGCCCCTGGAGACCTGGCCCAGCCCCTGCCGCCCCAGCCAGACTCAGTGCCTTGGCCAGGCTCTGTGCTGGGTGCCTGACCTGCATTATCAGAGTCTTCTGTCCCCCTCAATCTCATGAGAAGGGGGGCTGGTCCGGAGCTGCACCTGACAGATGGGGAAACTGAGGCTCGGAGAAGTTTGGTGTCTTGTCCAAGGTCACCAGCAACACCAGCCTCTGTCACCACCTCACTCCCACCTCTGTCTTTGAAACTGCAGCTTAGACAGTGGGGACCGGTGGGGGTCAGACTGGCATTTGGGCTTTCCTAGCCAGAAATGAAAAGACTGAGCACCAAGAACAGGAGAGCAACTTCACCTCTGCCCTCCGGGCCCCACCCTGCACCCCACCCATGTCCTGTCCTCCTCAGACCAGGGCTCTCTGGGCACTGAGGTCCTGCCCCGTGCCTCTCAGGCAGGACCCTCAAGGGTCAGAGTGACAGCCTTTCTGCAGAACAGCAGGGGCAGCCTGGAGCCCACCAGGCCTCTAGCCTCTTTCCAGGAAGTTGGGGCTGCCAAGGACCGAGGTCTCGGCCAGCTGTCTCCCTTGCTTTCCCTTCTGACCAAGCCAGCCAGAATCTTGGGGGCCTTCCAGGGACAAGGAGACCCCCTCCCAGGAGTCCAGGCTTGCTAGGGAGGCACATGTGCCCTTTGCCAGCTCCCCGACTTGGGGTGGAATTGAGGACGGAGCCTGGCACCTCTGGGCTAGGGGTGGGGTGGCTGGTCAAGGACAGGAGCCTGCGTGCCAGGAGCTTGTGGGGCGTCCCTGCCACCCCGGAGGCCAGGGGCTCAGCCCGTGTGGGGTTGGGCTCTCCATTCTTGCCGTGCTCCTGTGGAGAAGACAGACGGTGTTCTTTGTGCCCGCTTTGGTCCCTGTCACCTGAGTTTCCTGTGGGGCTGGCTGGTGCTGCCTTCCCGAAGGGCTTGGGATCCCAGGAGGACCCTGAGTTGCCCAGTCTCGGGGCCTGGGATGGTGGGTGGGGGTGGGGCACTCCGGGGAGCACGCGGGCTTTCTGGAGGTGCAGGTGCCCTCCCTCGCCTCTCCAGAGGGTGGGGAAGGGCCTCCGAGCCAGACACCTGCACTGCTGTGCACTCAGCAGCACCGACAGAGGAGTTGAGACTTGGTCCCTGCCCCGTCCACCTTTCTGGGTGACCTTGGTCTGCTCACTGTCTTCTAGACCTCAGTTTCCCATCTGTCACCTGTCTCCCCTGTGCACCGCTGCAGCCGTCCCCAGCTGAGCCCCATGGAGTGGGTGAGGCTAGGAGGAGCCACAGCGCGTCCCTATTGCCCTGGGCCCCAGGAAGTGCAGGCTGGTTGTCCCAGCACCCAGACCCTGCCAGCCCACCCCCACTCAGGTGACCCCCCCCCAAGTCCCCCAGCCCTGTGCCGGCCCTGTGGGGCTCAGGGGCCTGGGACCTGTGCCTGCAGTGCGGCCCCTATCCTGCCCTGTGGGCCGGCCCATCGAGGAGAGATTGCAGTGCCCGGCCCGGAGGGCAGATTTACTACATCTCGGTCCACGGGAGGGAGGCAGTGTGTCTGTGTCTGCTCAGCTCCCGGCAGGCCAACCTGCCTCCCGGTGCATCTTACCCATGCACTTACTTGGTGGGAAGGTGGGTTCCTGGCCCAAATCGGGTGAGTCACCTGCGTCACCTGCAGACCCGGGTGCTTCTGCCCTTCCACCCGCAATCATGGGCACCTGCAGCACTGTGAGCCCAGGCCAAGGCAGTGGGGACCCCCAAAGAAGTGTCTTTCTTCCCTCCTGGGGGCCTGCACTCTGGCCTTGGTCCCTCCTGTGCCAGCCTGGGAGGGGCTCCCTCTGCTGGCCAGGACAGAGGTGGGCAGGGGCAGCCACCGGAACCCAGACCTAGGCTGGGGTTCAGAGCCTGGCTTGCTGTTTCCTGTACATCTGTTTCCCTGGGTCCCATGGCGGGCAGGGGGCTGGAGGGGGCTGTGGTGAGAGCAGCGTGGGTTGTGGCATAGGGGTGGCCTGAATAGGGCCAGCGGGGGCTGGACCGGAAGGAGAAGGCAGGCAGATGCCAAGCCCCAGCAACGAGCAGATGATGCCATGTAGAAGCCCTCCAGCCGGAGCCCAGCCCGTGTCCGCCCTGGCAGCATGTTGGGCCTCCATGGAAGCAGCCTCGGCCAGGCTGAGCTGGTGCCCTGGGTCCACGTGCTCAGCCTTCCCGGGTGGCCAGGCTGGGGGAGGCCCAGGAGGAAGCTGGTTGGGGACCCGACAGTGGCCTGAAGAAGCCAGAGTCCCAGGCTGTGGCCGCCCCTGCCACGTTCCCTGACTGCTGAGGGTGGCGGTGAGGCTGAGTGAGGACCAAGAGCCAAGCTTGTGCCCAGGCTGTGTGTCCTCAGGGAAGTGACTCGGCCTGTCTGGGCCCTGGGTTCTTTATTTTGTCCACCTGAGGGATGTGCCCGCTGACCGGGACAGGCATTGGGGTGCTCAACAAGCAGGCAGGGTCCACACTGTGGGGTGGCATCTGCTGGCTGGATGCAGCGCCCTGTGTCCAGGTTCTTCCTAGCTGCATGCAGGTACCCAGGCCCAGGTCTCACTCCAGGCCTGAGGCCCCCCCTTCCTTATCTGTCATACCTGCTGCACCTGGGGTTGTGCGGTGGGGGCGGAGGACGCAGGTTCTAGGCCCCGCGTTCCCTCCTGGGTGCATCTGGGCTCCCCGGGGACTGTGCCCATCCCTTCAGCAGACACGCGGTCACCGCAGCAGGCAAACAGCCATTTGCTTCAAGCTCTGACAGGCGCCTTCGTCTCTCTTCTGCTCTGTCTGTTTAATTCCTCCATACTCCATTGTACTTATGTTAAAGCATTTCTTAAGAAGAGAAATGCACGCTTGATGTAAAGGAAAACTCAACTGTTCAGCACTTCAGAGTTGGCCCCGGTCCACCCCGGGCTCAGCTCTGCCCATGTGCGCTACACTGGTGTCGTCCAGGGTCCCGTCCCTGCTGCCAGTGTGTGTCCCCTTGCAGTGCTGGGGCGGAACCTGGGCCTTGCCCCCCGGCCGCCTTGGTTTTTGTACATGTGGCTGGAGTGCAGTCGTCCCTCTCAGGGGCTCGCGCTGGGCAGGCCATGCACTTGAGAGTAGGATCAGTCCTCAGAGCCATGGGCCCACAGGGAGGGTGGGGATGAGAGGCGATGCCCAGGCTGGAGGACGGCCCTGTGCCCTGGGCCTCTGTCCACACCCTCGGTGAGACAGTAGGGCGAGGGGCAGGGCTGCCACAGAGGCAGGAGCATGGAGGGCCTTCACTGCTCCTTTGTGGGGTGCTAAAGATGACCCCTCTGAGGGTGATGGAGCCCCTCGGGCCACTTCCCCGTCACCTAGCTGACTTTGAATCTGGAGATCCTGGGCTGAGCCTTCCCAACCCTCCTGGACAGCTGAGGCCCCTCCAGGCCCGGCCTCCCTGCATCCCGCTTGCGTCCGAACTTGGGATTTTGCCAAGAGAGGCTGGAGCCCTGAAAGCAAAAGGCTGCCCGGGGGCACGGGGACCTCAGGGAGGGCATGGGCGGCGTCCTCTCGGTGACTCAAGGGCCTTATGAGCCATGTGTGAAATGCTATTGTAAGCGCTTCCCCCACGTCCCCTGCCTGGCATTGGGAAAGCAGCTCATTCCATACAGCAGAGAACTTTCAAAGGCAAAATTAAAATATTGCTGTTCCCCTCCAGGTTGGGGGGGCACCTGAGGGGTGAGGAGGGACCCAGGGTCCAGATAGAGACCAGTGAAGCACAGCCCCTGCTTGGAGAGGCCTGATTCTGGGGCCTAGTGATCCAAATCTGGTTCCAAGGAAGACAACAGGATGGGGCTCTGTGTCACTAGAAAAATACTCGGTTTTGTGCCACGTACGTGGTTGACTCGCGAGCTGCTAATATTCTCCTGTGTTTGGAGTTTTAGTTTAAAACTCTCCTTACACAGAAGGCTCCTGGCTCCATGCGAAGCCATTTCCACAATTAAAACTCAAGTTGACTGATTTTACGCCAGTGGAACTTCCCACACGAGAGAGAAGCCGCCCCCCAATTACCAAATCTGGGTCTCCACGCGGACTGATTTACTTCGGGGTGTCCTGAATCGTCGCCTTCACTTTCATTTTTATCGCTGTTTTCCGCCGCCCGCTCTTCTCTACATCACTGATCGGGGGCCCAAGGGAGGGAGGCAGAGGCAGGGAGGGGCAGGAGGGAGACCTGCAGAGTCAGCCTGATACTTGTACTCGCAGCAGTCAGGGGCAGGACCCAGGCTGGGCTCTTCCTGGCTGGTGAGTGTAGGTTACTTGTAAACCTCTCTGTGCCCCAGTTTCCCATCTGTAAAAATAGGCACGGTTTTCCTTCTGTCACCAAGGGAGATCCCAGACCCTCGGCAGGAATGTGACAGCTGGAACCCGCTGGTAGATTCTGGGGCCTTGGGGTGGTGCCTGCTGAATGGCCCTCGTGTCTCATGTGGCCAAAGTCCTCGCTCAGAGCTGCCCCAGTCTTAGCTGGAACCTGGACCTCAGTGCGCCCCACGGAGTCCTGTTCAGAGCCGACCCCCCTCCCAGCTCCTGTGGTGGCACACCCAAGCCCTGCCTGCCCACGGGGCCTCCCCTGCTCTCCTCTGCTAGTGCCAGGTCTCAGTGCCTGTGCCAGTCCTTTGGGGACAAGTTCTGACCCATGCCCCTCCGGAGACCCGTGACCGCATCTCGGCTGCTGGTACCCAACTCTGTGCACCCTGT